TCATTCTGTCCTTAACACGGATCAGTCGTCCTGTCCCCTTGGCAGAAAAACAGCCCCATAGCATGATGTTTCCACCCCCATGCTTCACAGTAGGTATGGTGTTCTTGGGATGCAACTCAGTATTCTTCTTCCTCCAAACACGACGAGTTGAGTTTATACCAAAAAGTTCTACTTTGGTTTCATCTGACCACATGACATTCTCCCAATCCTCTGCTGTATCATCCATGTGCTCTCTGGCAAACTTCAGACGGGCCTGGACATGCACTGGCTTCAGCAGCGGAACACGTCTGGCACTGCGGGATTTGATTCCCTGCCGTTGTAGTGTGTTACTGATGGTGACCTTTGTTACTTTGGTCCCAGCTCTCTGCAGGTCATTCACCAGGTCCCCCCGTGTGGTTCTGGGATCTTTGCTCACCGTTCTCATGATCATTTTGACCCCACGGGATGAGATCTTGCGTGGAGCCCCAGATCGAGGGAGATTATCAGTGGTCTTGTATGTCTTCCATTTTCTGATGATTGCTCCCACAGTTGATTTTTTCACACCAAGCTGCTTGCCTATTGTAGATTCACTCTTCCCAGTCTGGTGCAGGTCTACAATACTTTTCCTGGTGTCCTTCGAAAGCTCTTTGGTCTTGGCCATGGCGGAGTTTGGAGTCTGACTGTTTGAGGCTGTGGACAGGTGTCTTTTATACAGATGATGAGTTCAAACAGGTGCCATTCATACAGGTAACGAGTGGGGGACAGAAAAGCTTCTTACAGAAGACGTTACAGGTCTGTGAGAGCCAGAGATTTTCCTTGTTTGAGGTGACCAAATACTTATTTTCCACCCTAATTTACGAATAAATTCTTTACAAATCCTACCATGTGAATTCATGGATTTTTTTTTCACATTCTGTCTCTCACAGTTGAAGTGTACCTCTGGTGCAAATTACTGACCTCTGTCATCATTTTAGGTGGGGGAACTTGCACAATCGGTGGCTGACTAAATACTTTTTTGCCCCACTGTACAGCTAAACCTGACATCCGAATTTCAAATACAAACTAGGTGATTTATTTGTGAAGACAGGTTTGCATGACATCTTTATAGTGTCCAAGATAAATAAACTTCAAGCTGTTTCTCAGTCTCTGTTGATGCTCTCTGTTGTCACATACAGCAGATGTATTTAACTTTAAGCTACGGCAGGCTGACTGGGCATATTTTCTTTTTTCTCAGCAAAACTCTGTCTCTCAACTTGTACAGTTGCACACATATATGTGCTAGCTGCCCAGTAAAACCAACATTTCTTTCAGCCGTGGCTGCTGAGAAGCTCTGCTGAAGCAGTTTGGGCAGTGCAACAAAGAAGATCAAGAGCACCACAATAGTCACTGAGAGGCTTTTACTCATTTAGCTCCCCAAATGAGATTTTTTTTCTGTCCAGTGTGCAGACTGTAACCAGTGACCTTCAAAGCACATTCTTGCTTCTCTGATCTTTAGTCTCCTTTTGCTTCCTGCTATTTTGACAAAGATGATATCAGTGTGAGTGTGTCTCGGGATTTATAGATTGCAAGCCTGTTTATTCTCTTTCCTTTATATGCAATTGCCTCTTTGGTTCACCTGCAGTTTGCAGACCAGAATAAGTGTCTATCCCATCAATCCTCATCCCAGCAGCAAAACACAAGTGCTACCAAACTACTGTAAGAAACAACCATCACAATAAAATGTTAACAGATTTCTTCTTAAAGCATCTGAAAAATAGCCTGATTGTTATCATTTTAGTGCAATCCACATTAGTCTTTAAAGGATTTTTTAAAATTATTCTCTGATTCAATAAATGTCATTTTATATAATTTCCAGAAAACAGTATTTTTGTTATGTTTGTATGGTGACACCAACTGGGGTCATTTTGATCCCAATATTTTTGTTTCTCTCTCAAAATAAAATGAGTCGATTTGACCGTAACAACAAATAGCTCTCAAATGGATATTTTGCAGATGAACTATGAACAGATCGTGTTTCAGGCAGTTACAGGGCACAACTCGGCACAGAGTACAAGAGGAAATTTATGATGTTCTACATCTGCCTCCTTTAAAATAACTAACAGAGTGGCAAATAATGCTTGCCTACCCAGCAGAAAGTAAATGATACTTTTAAAAAAAGTCCCTAAGGTAAAACACAAAGTCAACTTCCATCTGTTATCAAAAAATGTTTTGTTGACCCATCCACTGACCCGAACCTCATCTCTGAGGTTGCTCCACTAAAAGGCTTTGTTAATCGAAGGAAACAAAACATTGTTTAAAATCTATTAGGCACAGAGGTATTTAAACTAAATGTCTGACTGGCTAAAACAGCAGGTTATTGTCATGTCTGTGTGTAGGCAGGCAGGAAGAGAGGACCCAAAACGCAGGACTCACGGAGGCGGAAGTAACTCAAAGCACACAGCTTTATTGCAGGTATGAAACTGAACAGGAAAAACACTAACTAAACTGGGTGAACAGAATAACTAGACAGGTTGGCAGGCTGGCAGGCTGGCAAATGGAACACACAGAGGAAGCGAGGGTGAACAGACGTTAACGACGCAACATTGACACAAAGACACACTGGGCTTAAATACACTGAGGGAGTCATCAAGGAATTAGAGACAGAAGGGGAACACAGCTGGGAGAAATAAGACCTAACGAAACAGGGAGAGCAAAGCCGGAACACTGACATCAGACAGGAACAAGAACCTTCAAAGTAAAACAGGAAACAAAACACACTTTACTAAGACACGGACTAGACAGAGAGAGACAGACTTGACACTGACCAAAGCCTACTAAATAATAATCATAATCAAAACAGTATCACTGATTAATCAAATCATAATCTAGAAAAACACCAAATCATGGAAAACAGAAAGCTGGGTCAACATGACCCAGAACCGTGACAGTTATATTTTAATTTTAACCACCAGCATGCTAACAATTGCTAGAAAGCCATGAATAAACAATGAACGTCAGTAGATATGGGTTTGGTTTTTTTTTTTTGTTTGTTTTTTGATAATGCCAATAGAGAAAAAGTTAAAGGATCACAAGTTTGTACAATTTACAATCAACTGATTGACTGTGACATCCCCATGGCTAGCGTAACTAAAAACAGACTAGCTTCCTCAGATAGCATGCTTCATTTTCATTTTTAGCGCTTTACTATTTGTTTTTCCACTGTATGAAAAGCCAAAGTAATTCAAAATATAAAAGTGTGTTGAGCTGCATTTGGTTTATCTCCTTTGGCAAAATGTTATTTTTACAAAGGCGTATTATGTTAGCTCCTCTTATCTGGGGACACTTGTCTGGTGTCAAGTGTCACATAAGGAGGGGTGAATCAGCTATGTTGAGGGAAATAAAAGGTTGGAGGGGTCTTGTTTACCTGTGCTCTCCACAAGCAGCATTAGGTGCAGTCTGCTTTCAGTGGCAGGTAATGAAGGTCTGGGTGAGTGTTGCTCAGTGTTTGCTTGGTTTACATAAAGCTGTCCTTTCTGTCACTGCCGCTGTGGGCTACATTGAAAAATATGGTTTTGCATATTTTTGATACAAGTGGAAGTGATCTGATAAAAAATATAAGGTTTTGTGTAATATAAGAAAGTCTTTTAGAAGCGATGAACAAAACCTTATTTTTTTTACTTTTTTGTAATTAAGCATATTTAATCATCTAAAAAGCTAAAAAGGCACCCTCTCATTTGCTTGCGCTCACTTTTCATGAACTCCATTTTTTTCCCAGACGGGTCTGCAGCTCTGGTGAGAGTCATCTCAGAGAAACTGCAAAAAGGAGACAACATGATCCAATTTAAACGATCTTCCTCGGACAATCAGGCACAATCAGAGATTGTGTCGAGTGGGAAGAAATTGGTTCATTTCAGGCTGTTGAATTTTCGTCTATGTGATTTCACAGACAGTAGTGAAGAAAATCAACTTCACTTCATAAAACTGCAAAAGCTAACTCTCTAAAAGACCCAGAACATTGAGCTAAAGCTTTGAATGTTCACATGGTCGAATTGAGACATTTAGTTTTTTTTTTTAAGTCAATTTAGTCGATCAATTTAAATTTAAAATCTTACATATTTGTTTTGAACGGTTCAATACTCCCTTCTAAACAAACTCCTGAATTTCTATATATAAACTCAGGAGTAGTCACATCTATGAGTTTCTGTGATGCAACAACTTACAATGATTGATAATTAGTGACAAAGCAGGGTGTAGGCACAACAAACAGCTTCATTTCTAAATGCCTTTTTAGCCTTGCAGCTCAGGTGTTGTAAAAAATTGTCCAAAGATATCGTTGTTCAGGGAGTCTTTCCACTCCTGTCAAACTGATATAGTATGCTGAACTGGGCACCTAATATCCACCTTTCATCTTTCATCTTATTGCAATAAGGCTGGGGATGCACAAAATGACTTTTGGGTCAATTTGCACAAGATTTGCCTACCTTGCAAATTTATAAGGAGAAACAGTGCAGTTTGATTGAAACCAATGATCTGCAAATAGGATCCTAATATCTTACTTTACAGATCTAATCTTAACCGCCCCAAATGGCTTTTACCCGCTAATATCTAACGTTTTATATGTTTAAGCCAACATCTGCATAAGTGCTGTGCTGCGTTGGAGAGACTCCTGACAGCCCGCAAGAGCTCAGTTCGTAATGAAGTGAGGTAGTGCGAGCTGAGTGTGACTGGCTCTATTGTTATTTTGATTGGAATTACTGGATCATGAGATTGCAGGGCCTGATGTGAAAGGACATATCAGGAGTCAGCGGGATTATCTTTTGTTATTAAGTTTGCAATGTGAGCATATTTACAGCTGACATAAGAAATAGTCAGCAAAATATTCAGTGTGTGAGTTAAATTTCTGCTAATGTGTTCCTGGTCTAAAATGACGCTGTTTTGTTGTGATTCTGCAGTTGCTTATTGGCTGATGCTTTTTCAGTTACATAACAAACTCATTATTATCTCATCTGTTGTTGTTTTTTACTTATTTTGTTTCTCCGCAGAGATTGAAAAGTACGAAGGCGATGAATTAAGAAAAGATGGTGACACCAAGAAATACCTAGACATTATCAGCAATAAAAACATCAAGCTCTCCGAAAGAGTTCTCATTCCTGTCCAACAGTATCCAAAGGTAAGAGACATAACAGCTCTACAGGGTCCTACATTTTATTTTATTTTTTTTTCGGAAATGTGCAAGTGATCCGAACAATTAAACTGTGATGGAAGTGCAAGAAGAACAGAGTATGTATTATATTTTTTCAGTCATTTTAGCAGCATTTTAGTCTCCCCTCCAGGTCGGCTTCACCTGTTCACAACTCCTACTTCTACACTAAAATCCCCATGAGCCTCAAACTGGCTATTAGAAAGTCACCGGATGCTGTCTGTTTATTTTGATGTAGTCACCAAAAACCAAAGTTTTCAGCAGACTAAAGCACCCAAGGGTACAGTGAGGAACAGTAACCATTAATCACTCCATGACACTGCTCTGTGTCTGAGTTATGCAACGTCAGTACTGACAAAGTCTGAAACGTGGTCTAATGAGGCTGCTCCGTCAGGCAGCTAAGCAACACACAGCTGCTTGAGGAGCAGCAAAAGGCTGTACTGCCACTGCAGTCATGGAAAGCTCCACTGCCCTTGAGTTCAGACATTCATGAAAAAGCCTTTAATACACTTCATACTCACGCTGTACTTTCCTGTCTTTTTTTTCCTTGTCATAACATCTCTGTGTCTAGCTGACATTAAGATGTTGTATTATGTGTATAATAATATGTATTATTATATGTTTTATTTAATTTAGAGAAACGTGATTTTTGTTAAGCACACTTGTTTAACTTTTCTGTAACACATATCTAACTAGCCAATCGGATGGCAGCTGTTCAGTGCATTTAGATTTGTAGACACGGTCAAGACGACCTGCTCAAGTTCATTCTCAGCACCAGAATGTAGAAGAAAGGTGATTTAAGTGATTTTGGAGGTGGCATGGCGGTTTGTGCTAGACGGCTGGGGCCAGTATTTCATAAACTGCTGATCTGCTGGGATTTTCACCACACAACCGTCTCTAGGGTTTACGGAGAATGATCAGAAAAGTCAGAGGAAGTTTTCTGTGTGAAAATATCATGTTGAAGTCAGAGGAGAATGGCCAGACTGCTTTGAGATAGGAAAGCAGTAACAGTATCACGTGTAACCTTGAATCAGATGGGCTACAGCAGCAGAAGACCACACTGGGTGACACTCTTTTCAGCTAAAAACAGGAAACCAAGGCTACTGTTCTCACAGACTGACCAAAATTGACAACAGAAGATTGGAAAAATGTTGCCTGGTCTGATGAGTCTTGATTTCTGCTACAGCATTTGGACAGTAGGGTCAGAATTTGGCATAAGCAAGATGAAAGGATGGCTCCATCCTGCATTGCATCAATAGATCAGGCTGGTGGTGGCAGTGTAATTGTGTAGGGAATATTTTCTTGGCACACTTCGTTCCCCTCAGTACCAACTGAACATCATTTAAATTACCACAGCCTACCTGTGTATCCCTTTTTAGCCACAGTGTACCTATCCTCTGATGGTTCCTTCCACTTTTACCACTAAGCTACATTGATAAAGAAAAATGGATGTACAATTTATAGCCTAGTTTACCTCATCAAAATGAGATTTTAGAACACAGTCTTCCTCTTTCATTCCTCTAACCACCCTCTTGAAAAGGTCAGCACTACCATATTTTTACATATCAACATACCTGCTCACATCTTCCATAATGTTTAAAAGTAAGTTTGTTTCTCCTGACAGGAAATGTGTGCCTTTCTTTTGGTCTAGTTTGTGCACAGAAGGGAAAAGACTGCGTGTCACTACTTAACTGAGGCACATATTGGAACACATCCTACTCCCAGTACCTGAAAAATACTAGTCCTACATTGAAAACCACCTCCTTCTGAATACCCAAATGGTTTTCACCACGTTCAGTATCTTGCCAAAAATAGTGGAAGATTAGTGCATTTTAACTTAGCCAATGAGACAAATTGTTAAGAAGTCTTTTTGTAAAAAACTCTAAATTCAGATACTTTCTTTGACATATTTTTTCATTATCCCAGAGACAAAATCATATAGTTATTGCTTCTACTTTGATATATTTCAGTTTTTGTACATTCAAGACTTCATCGTACAGTGTTACACGACTAGAAAATAGATGGTGCTGGGAGGAGAGGGAAATCTGAAAACTGTCCTGAGCACAGGCAATGCTTTAGTCCAAGGAGCCCCACAGGACTCTACATACAAATCAATTTGCTGTTTCCTCCTCAGGTCAGCATTAAGCAACTAATTAAGCTTTGTTCAGGACCTCTTCACTTAAATTGATTTAAACACTATGAAAAATAGTGACTGAATTGGCTTCTTGGGGGGAAAAAAGACAAAGAAATGTGTTTTTGTGCTTCTTTTTCCCCCACATCTGTTATCCAAATATAAGATGTCTTATTGGTCAAAATTGCATCCTCACTGCAAATGTTAAAATATCGTTTCACTTAGAGCACACACACTGCTTTTAATATATTATATTTATATTTAGTGTATATTAAGCTTTTGGGTGGGTGTGAAGAGCACTGACACACACTACAGGCATCCATCAGTTCAGCTGGTGGGTTTTCTTATAACGCCAGACATATGGATTGTGTGGAAGCATCGATTTTCTTCTTGAAAACGTAAAACTTGGAGGTAAAATTAAATTTCTGTAGATGGCGCATGTTCTGCTTTATATCCTACCTGCTGATTAATTGCATTCACTTTGAGTCCCATGTGTGAGTCTGCTCCTGATTAGATGGTTAATGAAAATCAGTGGAGCTTGCAGTTAAGAAAACCCGAGAAGCACGGAGGTACATAACAAATACATTTAAAGTGTTTTCACCATTTTAAACATGAAATTCACAGGTGCAATAGAGAAGCTCAAGTTTGCCAATGCTGCACAGTAAGCAAAGCTGCAGTCCAGAGGGACAAAACAGTTGTCCAACAACAGCTTCTGTGACCTGATTGCACAGTCAGCACCCCGCAAGACTGCAGTCTCACTATCTTAAACATCTTGGTAACACTGCACTTTCATTTAATGATAATTTGGCATATTAAGCAACTCTCTGATCAAGTGCATGGCCTGCAAAGTGAATGAGCCAAACTAAAAAGAAAGCAGAGCAAAACTTGGAGCCATGAGGTAAATTGGGCACAATATCCAGAACTTTTAGGGGGGGGGACCTAGTTAAATGAATGTTTTTGCATCAGTGTCACACAGATCTGAATGTTGGTCCTCAGTTCACTGATCGATATTTGATTTTGTACTTTCACAACATCTGGCCCTGCCAAGATGCACAAACTAATTGGTTTAATTACACTGGAATTTTCTGTGTTTGTGACATCAACTCTTCAATAACGTCCAGTCAGATTTTCTGTCACCGGTGGCCGTGCAAAACACTGTTCTCTCTCATTTCAGTAGTCTGGCAGGGCTCATTCTTGGTTACAGCTTCCATCTTACTGAAGACTAATTAAATGCAAAGTAATTAAATTATTGCATGAGAGAATCCTTCTGAGTAGTTTTAGATTTGACAAGATCACGTGTAATTGTGAGTAAAACTACCAGCACTAATGAAATCACTCCTAATGGCACATTGACAGACACGCTGCAGGTTTTCACTTTTAACATGTCACAGCAGGAAATGCACGGTATTGTTAATAAAAATGTGAGGATTCAAATATTCTTAGTTTATCATTTGTTCCTCTTGTTAACTGTCTATACTGCCTATGAAAAGTCCTGTTTAGTCTAATTCATGTATGCAGTGTAGTCTAGTTTAATGTTTCTGTGCTATAGATGTGATAATGGTCGTGTTAAAGTCACATTAAGACAATCCAGGGTCACACAAGTGTATAATAATGCTAGATAACATCATTGACTCAAGCATAGACCACACAGTATACTTGCTTGTTAATACAGTATCACTTGACTGCATTTCAAATGTATGCAGATACAAAAAATGCTGCCAAATCGATACAGACACAGCATAGTACGGGGATATGGTTTTCATTTATAAGAGATGGTTTGCAATTTGCACATCAGTGCTGCACAAATTTATTAGACCACCTTTCATAAAAAAACAAGGAAAAAGAAACTATTTCAGCTGAATTCACTGGACTGAATCACATATTTATGCCCAAACATTGGCCTTCTCCGAGAAGTCAAAAATTAATAAATCATAACAGTGAACCAAGAAAACAAATTTTTCTGATCAGAAATGTAAGTAAATAACTGTAATTTGGCATTTTAATAAAAAAAAAAAAAAGAGGTAATGTACAGTTTTTTACTGTTTTTCATCATTAAAATTAGCAACAAAAAAAAAGGTCATTTAGAACCTCTGGACAGATCTTCCTCTGACACAAGCAGATCATTTTTTCACTGTTCTCTTTCTTTCTCCGCACAAAATGATCACTTGAGAACATACTTTAATCTGTGTTTCACTATCACACACTTAAACCACACTCATGAGCTAAAACATGACGAATATCCCCAATGCTTCTAAAACAGCTCAAACCTCAGGGCCATGGACGCTGCATACTTAACCTGCGATAGCACAACATCATTAAAGTTGTGCGCTGGAGCAGATCACTGTTTCACTTGCACCTCTCCGCCAACACTGGGGTGCTTGTCTATAGTTTGCCCCCCACGCCCCCAAACTATTTTATCCAGGTACCCACCGCTGTGACTAGGTGTTGCTCTCAAACCTTGCCATTTTGAATATGCTCTGCCCCATTTGTCTGACAATAACCATTACCATAAGCATTTCACCAGCATCAAACACAGTGACTCAAAGCCTGTTCATTTGAATCTCAGATCTTGAAATGCACTGTTTTTCTGAGATAATTTCACTTGTGATTGTTCATAATGTTTTGGCTCATCAGTACACTGTGGGGGAAAAAAGAAGAAAAAACAGAAAACAGAAAATGTTTTGGTAATTTTCTTCCAGCACATTACCCGTTTTTTAACAGCAAATTTCTGTAAATGGTAAAAAAAACAACGTGTGGTTTAAAAACACAAGTAAAAAAATAATATGGAAAATTCCTTCATTTTAAAACAGCACATTTGACTGTATCTTTGCAGATTATT